GGGATAAAAGCCCAAATCTTATAGCAGATTTTTACATTGAAAATAGTTTTATTACACGGAAATAATATTTTCTTATCAGTGTTTGCCAAAAACGTTCATTTTCATCAGCATCCAGCATTTAAACTTGTACGTAGGTAGGGAAGAGATACGCAAATTAAGCTAACGTGCCCGAAACACTTATCCTATTTGCACGTTCAAACACGTGTTTGAACACTTTTTTGGCCGATTAATAAATAATACAATGCTTGCAAAACACCGTAGACTGTTATTTTGGCAAAGCCGTGGGTGCGGTTATATTTCGCCGCAAGACAGCTTGCCAATCGGCAACGACTTCTCCGGCATATCCGGGTAGACGGCCGCGTCGTTGGCTGGGGTGGCCGACGTTTCGCCTGGACATGTCGCAGGTTCCTCAGGCCACTGCCCTGAGGAAGCCTGCGACATGTCAGGCCGCAACGTCGCACCCAGGCAACCGACGCGGCGTCTCCCCGCGATAGCCGAGAATTCATGGATTCGAGCGCCGCGGAAGCTTACGTGATAAATGCGACAACATAATTCGCTAATACTGGAGAACACAAGACGCACTTGCAAGAGGTACCGCGCGGCGAGCGAAATGGCGCGCCATTTGACTCTGAAGCAAGGAAGAAGAGGGGTCCTTTTCTGGGCACGACATCAGACGCGCCCTGCCACCGACCACCCAAACCTTAGAAACTCGCTCTTCCTGAATAAAAAATTTGACTCCTTCAAGAGTTGCTTGATCACTGAAAATTAGGGTTTGGAATCGATTTCATTCCTTTTATTGGGATTAATCTATATTTAGCGGGGATTTTTGTAGCAGCAGTACGTTGGCATTGTAAGGATTCCCGTTGCTCGGGGACTCCTAGATTCACGTCCAGGAGCGATTTTCTGCATTAGTTAGATCGATTTCAACCTCTGTCCTGGGGGAGAATTCTAGCGGCCGGCTGTTCTGTTCGGTATATTTCGTGGTTTCTCCCGATGCATCCGGTGATCCCGAAGCCAGTTCGGCCGCCACGAACAGAGCCGATATTTTTCCTCTTCCTTGTCCTGTTATCATTCCATTTCTTTTGCCATACGTTCTCTTTCATACGATATTTACCATACATGTCGCGGAGCTTGAGTTTGCCCGACTGCGACGGTGACTCTGGTTGGGAAAACAATTTCCGCAAGCCTTCGTGTACGGTCGGCGCTGATTTACCATTCCACTTACTACTACCACCACCACCACCACCACTACCACCACTATTCCCACCGCCACCCGCCTTAGAAAACGTGCTCTACACTTACGACAATAATGATACTAGCAGTTAACCTGGAAAAATCAATTATTCAAAAAAAACCGCATACAACATTACTACAGAAGCATATAAAATTGTTTTTGGGGCGTCTGGAACGTATCAATTTGGTTTATTGTACTTGTTATTTCGGTCAAGTAACGCTCAAAATATCCCGATCCAGGAAAAAATGAAATATTGTTTCTGACCTGTTCACTAAGTTTATTGGGGCGCTGAACTCTAATTTCGTGTGCCACGTGGGGGAAGGTCGGCTCTCCCACCCTCCACCCTCCTCTCAGCCAAGCCGCCGTCGTCTTTTCCGTGTTGCTGTGCAACTGGTTCTCTTGCTTTGCGTATAAATAAAACCTGTTCTGACGAGAAAACACGAAAAGTATATAAGGAGACCTCAAAATCGCGGTTCAGAATCGTTGGCGAATCCGACCGCATAGTCAATATGCATTCAACGCACGGGAGAATCGTGTGCCAACGATTGGGACCACTCTTCGCCATCCTGTGTGCGATAAGTGCTGTTGGTTCACAGACGACGTCCGGATATTTTCGTGAGTACAGAAATTGAAGTATTCCTTCAAAATTGCTCTCTGCGTTGAGTGGTAAGTGTGGTATGAAAATATTAGTGTTTACAAAACATCCCTTGCTACCCTAAATCTCGGAGATTTAAATAATTTGTTGAAAGTTGGCGATGCTCTAGTCAGACACTTTTCTCTACCTTAATTTTTTAGGCAATAATGGTCTCTCTGTTTTTGGTATAATGGGTGTTAGCGGGTTGCTGAATATTAAAATAGTGATTATTTGGTATTTTGTGGATCTATTGGAACATCGATGCTTTCATAAAAGTAATTGCTGCATTGGATTTGTAGCCCTTATTCATAACAAAACATTTCTTAATCCGTGATTTCAAACTATGCATATTATATGCACGTAACTAAAACAGAAGTAGCTTTCACACCATGTTATTTGCAGAAAGGTTTGCTGGAAAGCCACACTGAATGTCGGAAATATTGTCTTTAGTCGTGATTAGAGTCAGTCACAAAGACACTCAGATTTTCCGAGCGCTAGTTTCGGCACTGCCATTATGGAGAACCAACTATACTGTCACTAGACCTGTCATCGGCCAGATTTCTCGAGCCCAGTTACCTCTAGTAGTAGCCCACTACACGAATAAAACATAAAACACTAAGAAATTTGTTCTCAGTAAATAAATACAGCTATCCTTCGGTTATCAAGTTAGTTCTTGTGCGTTTGAAGTATGAAGCTGTGCCATAAGCAACGATGTTATTCATCACCTTAAACGCTTTATTTTTTCAGTTTTGAATGAAGGAGGGTAACTGAACTATATATGTAAGGCATGTTCTGCGACGTATACTGAATTAAAATACTATCACAGTCCAAACATCTGCATGGTTATGAAATTGAAGCTGAGCGAGCAGATTGAAATGATGGCATTTTTTTACGGTTCAATGCTTTCGAAAACATAACGGTTTGGAACTACTAATATGTATCTTCCTGTTTGCTGAATAATTATTTTACGGTCTCCTTTATAAATAGCCAAGTTGATTCTCACAGGCGAAACCATATCGAAACAACTAGTTAAGCAGGCATGCCATATTGGGAGGAATACCGTCAATTGAGTGACAAAGCATCGACGTGTAGGAAAATGCATTTTACAAGATTTCGCCCATTTAGGGAATTCATTTCCTGGGAGGATTTTGAGCGCTTTCCTATTTTTGCTTACTTAAATCGTCAATAATACTTAACGTTTTCATGTAATTGTACAGATATTGATCACGTCTCAAAGAAATGGCCTATGCACAATTGTTTTAGTTTTGAACAGGTAGTAAATATACAGCTATTATGAAAATATATCAGAGCCAGATTTTTTATTTTTTAGGCAAGAATTTTGCCCTTTTTTCTTGAAAATATACTAGTATTTAAATCTTGTACTAGGCAGACTTGTGAACAAGAGATTTAGTTTCATACAACTTGTGAACGCGCATCTACTTTGAAATTATCAGAGCTAACAGGTCTTTACCGCTCACCTTTTTTCATCACTTTGTTATTTGACGGAATTGGTCGGATTTTATTCTTCCGATTGTGGATTTTCCCAAAATTCGGATCTGGCAACCCCGAGCTCAATGCGACAGAGCACACTCCCGCGAATGAATCGCGTCGCAGGCCTTGACAGAGACCTGCGTATAGATTTCACGGGCAAATAGTGTGCGTGTTTTTCCCCCGAACTGCGAAAGCAAACCAGAAAGAACTATATAATAGAAAGGGCTTTGTCCGGCTCTAATCGTGACATGCGTGAAAGCGTGTGATCTGAAAATTTGTATTCTAATTTTTAAAATATTTTAGCCACTACGAACCTAACGGTAGGGTCAAAAATTTGTCTGAGTTTTTCAAAATTGCAGTTATAAGTAAAATAGGGAAAATATTTAGTATTAAATGGCAAAGTATATACATAAATGTTTAATGAAAATAATAAAATGAAACAAATGTATAAAAAGCTATATAATATGCAAAATCAAAATACCCTCTAGTTTACAGAGCATTTACAAAGAAAATTACTTTACGCCAATTTCAAATTACATTATTTCATAATGTATTAAATGCATTTTAAAAATAAATATTGCTAGTGAATTAAATGTTTAAGAGTACATTTTTATCTTTGAGAGCAATGATGGTCTTCGTAGAAACCCAGGAGCTCTACCGACAAAATCACGGTAGCTTAGTAGGTAGAAATAGTTTTTATGCTGCAAGTTTCTTTTTATACCAATAGAGACTTCACTATAGCAGGAAACAGTTAATAAGAATCACTTTTAAAATAAAGCACTACTAGAAAGCATTCTAAAATACTATTCCTCTGGAAACAATTATTTTTACTGAGTTTGAATATGTACCGCTTGTTGTAAAAAAAACTTCCGCTCGATTGGGTTTTTGTGCGTTTGCCCATCGATCTAAAGAGCAAGTGCTGAGATGGCCTCCTCCCTCGCTTCTCGCCATTTCAATATAGCTATCGCACTCATCGCACTAAAAATAGATGTACTTGGGGATGGTATAGATAGTGGGATAGACACTAGTTTTCATACCTTTTGATATAACAAATTAATCAAATTTTGTGTAAATTGTAATATTCTTAATAGCATATAATAATAATAATAATAATAATAATAATAATAATAATAATAATAATAATAATTCAAACTAATGACAAAATACACAAAGATATTTCATTAACTCTTGTTATTGGAATTGTATTTCAATACAGCAAAATTCCTTAGCAATGTAACTTATTTCATGACAAAATTTCCTGTTTGTCAATATTAATTCTATTGCATCTTACTGTTAATGTATATAACTGTTTAAACATGTAAATTATACTAAATAGTCACTCATCAATGTCAGTTGATGCGACTACAAATAAATAAAACCAATTATTTGCGGTTTAGGGGCTCTTCTTATTCTCTCTGTTTGGAAAGATTTTAAAAACATTACATACTTTATTTTGTCTTTATTTTACTCAATATTCCGCATTTTTAGTCGAACTAAAATTGAAATCTGGGATGAAATATCTTTTCGTAATCCCTTTGATGACATGACGTTGCAATACAGGTTTCTTATGAAGTATTTTGATGCATTGGGCTTACTTTCTGTTCAAATGTTACAATATTACAATTGTATAACTTCTTGCAGCTAAAGACGTCAAAATATGCAGTGCAAAAGACCCAAATTTGGACACGTGTTTCACCAACTCGGCAAATCTCATGATAAAACATCTCGTTAAAGGTGAGTTTGGTTTTCATAAAGAATTATTTACAGCTATTGATATTTTTACTCAGTATTACAACAGTGTTTAGGGATATCGTATATAATAAATATTGGGTGTAAACGAAATGAATATCATCGACAAGTCTAATCATCTAATCAGACAATAATGGGGAAACTTCAGAAACAGTGTAAACGTAAATGGGCAAAATATATAAAAAGGACTCTTGGGGCTCAGAGCAAGTCACTTGCCTTTCACCGAAGAGGTGTGGGTTCGATCCACGGACAATCGCATGTGAAATTTGCTCCGACATAACAAGTTTGTCCGCAGGTGCCAGTTCAGCCCCTGCAAAGCGTCCGAAACTCACTCTCCTCATTTCTTTCCCTTCTGGCTGCTGAGTAGTGACGCAGGAGCGGATGTGAGATGCGTATAAGCGGAGATGCTATCTGGTGGTCCTCTCAACTGTCATGACTTGTATCCGTATACAGGAACGCAAATTCCGCTACCCTTACCGTTGCTCCCAAAGGTGAAGACCAGTAGTTAGTTAATGCGACCTTCAATAAAAATGAAATTAAAAAATAAAACAAGTAAGTACCAGGTTAACCTTCGCGTTTGCAAAAGACAAATGGAACAACTGTTGAAACGTTACGCAGAAAAAACATCATACTCATCATACGCAAAATAGGAACTCCCCCAAAGTATTGTTTCATGTCTTTCAGTATTTACTCTCTAAGACTCTTGAAATAAGGGAAATTTCAAAATCTGAAACAATACAATCACTATTCATTGTCAACATAGTTTCAATTAACCATAGCATTCCGGCAAGATAATAGTTAAAGTTTTAGAGTTATACAAGCTTCTGGATGTGATCCTGTTATCCACCTTAATTGAAATCTTAATGCATCACATAAAATTATTATTGATTTCTGTTCGTAAAGGGACATGATTCAAACGTTTGTTGGACAATCCGGTTCTACACACTCACAATTTTTGCATTTAAAAACATTCAGTTTTCTAATTTCAAAATCCCTTCTCTTCATCCCAAAAGATACCTCCGTGAATTTTTAATGTCTTTGGGGAAGATACTTCTATTATTTGATGTCATGTATTGTTGTTTGCCTGTAATTCATTGCAATCATCATACGATTCCATGGTTAATATAATGTATTTTGAAAATATACAGCAGCCTTTGCATAGTCCACATGTCGAATTCCTTCTTGTAGTCAATGAAACAGGTATGGAGATCGCCCTATTTGTCAGAAATGTTGGTGTGTTGCCCGATTTGTAAGTGGCCAAACATATGTTTGTCGGGGACGAGCTGATGGATAAGTTTCCAGATCTCGAGCGTTAGACGACATTGTCAACAACAGCAACAGCAGAAACAACAGCAATGACAGCTATGCAACAACAGAAAGCGCAAGTACAATAGCAATATCAATAGCAACAACATCAATGGCAGTATCAACAGCAACAACTAGAACTGCAACAATATCAAAAAAATAATTTTTTGAATAATCTTCATGACCTAGCATTCATCAAATGAAAATATTAATACATATTATTTGAAGCAGTGGTTTAGGTATCGTATGGTAATTAATATGTAAATGTGTTGCGCAAAGGATTCTTTGAATCATTAAAAATGTCTTAATTTAGATATACGAAATGTAACTCAATGTATGAAAACTATTGAGAGCAGAACTTTAAATTAAATTGATGCATGTATAACTACATGCACAACAAATAATTCGAATTGTCGTGTTCTTATATTCGATACGTGAAAATTAATGGAATCAAGTATTTCTGTGGAATTCAAATTATTATGTAAAACTTACATTAGTCAAATGTGTGAAAATTGGAGTCAAATGTTTGTCCTGGTTACAATGTGTATACTTTTTATTTAAGCAGAATTAGCTCACGAAATATTTTAAGCCATCCTGTTTTGTTTTGTTTGTTGTTTTTCTTTTTTGTATTTCTTTTTGCAGATTGTGGTCTCTTCATAGCGCAATAGGAATTCTCTGTAGATATACGGCCACAAGACATTTTTTTGAACTTGTCATTTTGTTAAATTTCAGGCTCCCGCAAACTGAACGTTGTTCCTTTGGATCCCCTTTACATTCCATTAATGTCTCTCCAAAGGAATAACAACCTTCTACCAACATTGGCTTTCAATTTAACCGACTCAGTTCATGAAGGCTGGAAGGACGCTGTTGTGTTACATTCCAAGTAAGCAAAGATTTTCTACTACTACTACAAGTGGATTCTCAACCATGTTGTCCAGAGTTGAGCTGAAGTCAATTTTTAATTTTCAAACTTGTATAAGGTCTGTGCAAAATAATCCAAAGTATAACTCTACACTTATGTATTATGTATTAGATATTTCAACAGGAAAAGAATCTAAGGAAGATTAAAATTAAGGAAAATTAAATGTACAACAGTTGGTAAGATGGAAGAGCAGGCTCTGTAGCCTGAGGAATGCCACTGATGAAGACATTATTATTATTATTATTATTATTATTATTATTATTATTATTATTATTATTATTATTATTTATTATTATTTATTATTATTATTTATTATTATTATTATTGTTATTATTATTATTATTATTATTATTTAATAAAATGCGAGACCGGTGGGCGAAGTAAACTGAAAACTTTTTTCACATGAGGTTGTCTATCATCAACGACATGTACTCAGGTCTGTGAAAAAAATAGTTGTAAAATAACATAAACGCAGAGTTTCCTCAAATATAAAATTACATATCCATGAGACAGAATAGAGTCATTACATTAAGTACATTGTTGCAGGGCCAATCCCAAAGAAAGAAAATTCAAGCTGGTCATCAACATTCCTCGTTACCGCTTCAGTGGCCCATACGACGTAACAGGGAGTATCATTGGAATTCCATTAGAAGGCTCTGGAGACATGAACTGCACTTTCTGTGAGTAAATACATCTGTGTGAGGGGCGAGGAATATTCTTTGGTGTAGAGGTTTCTCGGAATCGATGATTCAATCTTCAAGGGTTGTAGGGGAGTGTCCAGCATAATAGCTTTTTCCCAAAGAGCATGTGCTAACATTTCATATAACGAAGTTAAACATTTCGAAGGTTATTTGATTGGATAGCAACCATTCATGCGATGGGGTTAGGCGGTTTTCGGACGCAGTCTAGCGACTTAGGTGGCTCAGGGCATCAATTGATGCCTATGCCGGGAGGTTCTAGTATTCGAGTCCAGGCGGTGGCAGGGTTTTGGACACTAGCTACGTAGCCAAGACAAATTCAGTCGCTGTCTGGAGGACAATTAGAATGGCTCGCTGCTCTGATCGGTACTTTCCCGAAGTTTCTCCGATCAATACCAGGCGAATGCCGGAGCAGTACCCTAAAAACGGGCCGCGGAACGCGAGCGATTTTTTCTTTCTCTTTCTTGTTTTATTCTCACCTCTTACAATAACAATAAGACGTTATTCTGAGAACTTCAAACTGCCGTGACGCGGCGTTCCCATGAGATAAGAACCGAAAGTTTGTAGCAAGAGTAGTGAAGGAAGTTCGAAACAGAAAAGTTCGAAAATTTGCAAAATTATACTATACTCATATTTTTTAAACATTACATGGTCTTTTTAGAGAACTGATTTTTTAAAACAGATTCCCTTTAACTTCCTCCTCTACATCATCAATATTGTACTTTTGCGATGTTAATTTTTTATTTACATTTTTCGAAAATGCAGAGAATTTGCCGAAAATAGGCACAACACAACTTTTTTAACCGTTTTTTGCTCCATATGAGAAAAAACTTGAATTAGTAGTGCTAGAACAGCACATACTTTGTCGCATTATTTCTAAATTTGCAATTTTCAAAAATTCAGATAGTTCAACGAACATGAGACCTGTGTTGTTCTTTTAAACGTCTCTTGTTTAATCCGTTGAAAAACAAAATTGAAGAAAAACGCATAGATTTTTGAGAAAATATATTTTCATAAATTGCATTAATTTTAAGCAAAAATTAAATAAAAACTGCTTGATTATTTTCCAAAAAGTTGTACATTACCCTTCTCAAAGACATGAATTTTTAGAACAGATTTTGGTTAAAACAAAAATCTCTATCCTTAAATTTGTACTTTTGAAATGTTAACGTTTTCGCTTAAGCAATGCACACATAACAGATCTATATCTTTTAGTGACTGGAGTCCCTAATGCCTAATCGGAATATAATTTTATTTCTGATAATAGGGAAAACAATGGAAAAAATAATATACACACAAGTGTTAAATTTTATTCACGAAGAACGTGAAGGAAGAATGTGTCTCCCTCGTTCATTATAGTATTTTCAGCCAGCAGTGTGTAGACATATGTAAATATTAACTGAATTATTTACCAACTACCAATTTACCACTTAAGTGAATTTAATTTGAGTACATTTTTGAGAAAATAACATTTTTAATCGAGGCAATGTGTGTTCACAGATAATATGACCAATGATATTTTGATGCGAGGTCATCTGGAAGAACGTTTTGCACAAGAGTACTTCGTAATCGATGATTTCCATCAGAAAACGCACGTCGACAAGATGACAGTATATTTGGGTAATCTCTTCAATGATCCCAAGCTAAGTAAGTATAAGCAAATTTTTTGTTTGTTTATTGATTGACATACAAGGAAATATGTAAGAAAAATCTCAGGAAAATTATAAAAAAATGTATAGTTACAGTTTATGAACTTCATCAAATTAAAAATTAGTTTCGCCTTAATCTTGGAAATTATGGCAATAATTTTGTTTTGCAATTGATAAGAATCTGTTCTTGTCCCCGCCCCGTCCCGCCCCGTCCCGTCCCGTCCCGTCCCGTCCCGTCCCGTCCCGTCCCGTCCCGTCCCGTCCCGTCCCGTCCCGTCCTTGAAAAATATTTAAGAAGTAGTTTCCTTTTAAAAAAATTACTAAAAAATGAACTTAAAAAAATTGTTTTCTCTATCTTTTAGCTGAAGCTACTAACAAGCTCCTGAACGAAAATAACCGAGCTGTCATAGACGAAGCCAGCGATGTCTTAAACGAGGTGTGGGGTGCGGTGCATGCTGGCCTCATGCAGAGAATCTTCAGGCGTGTACCTTACAGGGTCATGTTCCCTGGTCTGGACTAGGCACTCGCAGTAGATAAGTTAAAAATTCAATGACCTTGCGGAATAATACGATTTTAAACAAGATTTATTTAAGTCAAGGTATACTTTTGGAAGCGGATAATGCTAACGATAAGAAACATATTGTATCACATAGAAGAAAATATTCCATAGAAACCAGTCCGAAAGAGACGTTTATTGAATTGATTGTAAATAAAACACATTTTTCTTTATTATTTAAGTATTTATTTTCCCACTCCTTATTGAAATATTTGGAAATATTTGTGTGAATGTTAGCCATTTCGCGCATGGTTTGACGTATTTTTCGTTGGAAGATGGACCAAGAATTATTGGCGATTTTGTCATGCGAAAAGAATGTCTGGGAAAACCATTGCCCGAAATAATATCTTACACCAAAAAAAGTGGGATCATTTTAACATAAATTTATCATTGCATACGTATGAGATACTTTCTAATGAATTCTACTGTTCTTGGACAACTCAGAAAGTTTTCAATTTTTGTTTTGGCAACAGATCTGTCGCATGATTATTGCGATGTAACACAACAAAAAAACACAAAAAAGTATAATTAGTAATTCATCTTGCATATTGAAAAACAAACAAACAGCTAATCTTAACATGCTTATATTTCTTGAAAACAATATATTATTTTGCCCAAATACTCAGCCAATGATATCAAAAGTATAAAATAATATTTGTAAAGTGTAAAGTAATATCTGTTGAGACCTGGGAAGGTAGTCACTATTTTAGATTTTTAATTTTTGAAGAGACTATATTTAGTTCCCTTTTCTATTATTAATGCACCCAATAGTATGAACCCATGGCTATATTTTTCCACAAATTTTTGGTCATAGCATTTGGCGGCTTGTCAAAACAAAAATGTTCTATCAGAGTAATGTTTTGAGACAACCTGCCCAGACTTCGGTTTGGTTGTCACAGATATTGGGGTTGGCTATCACGAGTTAGGTTAGATTGACAAATATAGATTAATTGGTATACAAAAATATTAGTATTCGAATTTAAGAAAACAATCTTTGATATTGATAAAGCAATAATACATAATAAAGACCAATTTAGACACAAAAATATTCAATACAGGGAATATTTAAGAAAATGTCGATATGAGTCAAATCTCACAATTTTGATAGGACTATAAGTTATTTGGTTCAATGATATATACTTCATCAGTTCACTTCTTACATTCTTCACACATGTTCCATACTTCAATCCATCCCACCCATTCCATCCCTTCTCATCCCATCCATTATTCATTTCATTCCATTCAATCCATCCGTCAATTAATTTTATCTATTCATACCATCCATCCATCCCAACCATTCAACCCAACCAACCATCAAACCCAATCAAGCATCCATCCAACCCACCCATTTCATCCCTTCTCATCCCATCCATTAGTCCATTTCGTTCCATTCCATCCATCAATTCATCCATTTCTTCCATTCATCTGCGTCCCATCCATTCATCCGTCCCATTCATTCATTCATTCATTCATTCATTCAATCCATCTTTACCACCCATACAATCAATCTAAGCCATCTACTTCATCAGTCTATACCATCCATCCTAGATCGCTCCATCGATTCATGTATCCATATTCTCGTAACGACCAAACCCATTCAATCATTCTTTCATTTGTTTGTCCATTCATCAATCCATATTTCCCTATTTTCGGATGCAAAATGACGTGTATATCCTCGTCACCTTCACCGATCCCACCTTCGGAAAAGCATTTATAGATCTTCCTTAAGTGTGTGCAATGTTACATATCAAATGCATCTGAAACAGTGATTTTACGACTGAAAATTCGAGTTCTTATTGTTGTGAATCCGATTCTTTTCCTTCCTATACCGTGGAGGGAGGAGTAAAAATTACTACCCCGGGAGGGGAAGTAAAAATTTGTTGTCAATATTCCGAAAATTTTGAGGTGATACTATTATAGTATCTTTTAAAATTGTAGTATCTTAATGATGTAACTATGCAGGCTTAAGTAGGACTATATGTATGTATATAGCCTACATGTAGAAAATGATTTAAAGATGTAATATTCAGGAAGAGATGCTTATTGTTCGGTATTATATATCCCACCCTACTACCTCTCGAACATGTGAATCAGTTGAATGGCTTGGAAGGTCATTCACGGCGATTGAAAACCGTAGCTTTGCAATGCAGCAAAAAATAACAAAGTGTTGAAGAGAACGGCTACCTTCAGCTTCTCGTGGCTAGAAGCGGTCCCGCATTTTCACTCGTGCGTGGTACGGACTCCTGATGGCAGTTGGGACAACCGAATGAAACTTTGTCACCCAATTATTATTGCGTGGGAGGGCAACTCTAGCCATCCGCACAGGAATCAGTACTCGCGAGTATCTAAACAGACTACGAAGAGCAGATCACCAGCCGAAATTCGCAGATAACTGCCGTTCCAGTGAGGTCGCGCAAGTGCACTGAGCCTTAGCTGGTTCTCTGCTGCTTCTGATGCCATCGAACTAATAAATGTGACAAAAGACGGTGCCGCATTGGATTTGCAAAACGCAGCCTTCCACTGCCTCCGCCGCCGAGCTAAGATTCTGCCAGTTCCGAGCAATACTGCGAAGCTTCCGTAATGTATTTGAATGAACATAATAGCGTAATTGGATTGATGAAACATATCTATTAATTGTATGACTTTTGTTCCAAACGAACTCTCGCAAAAATCAAAATAAATTTGCGTTGTATCTTCTTTTATTTTTCTGCCATAGATTGAATTTAAGTGCGTCTTTAATGTGTCTGTGGTCGGGCATCGTCAGTGAGGTGCAGATGGGTGCACTTGTACCTTTCTTATGAAGAAAAAATACTATTAAAATATTGAGAAAATAACCGATTAAAAGTGCTTTCGGTTTGAATTCCTACACGTTCATAGCGTTCAGTAGCTCAGTAATGAAGCATGCCTCACTCATATACTGGAGTACTTATTTTGAAATGAAAGCAGTTGCGTTTTTTGTTAGCAAATTAATCACAATTGATCAAACTTTCTCATTTGAAAGCAAGATAATAAAAGGAGAAAAACACGCGATAAAGGGAGAGGGTGAGGAAACAAGAGCGTGAGAGTGTGACCAAATTAATTTGGTTAAAAATGTCAAAGGCGAGTAGGGAAAGAAGGAAGAAAAAGCTACAATAATATAGCAAATTAGACATCCTTATAATAACGATTTTTGATTAAGAAAAAACTCCACTCGTGAAGAGCTTCTACAGTGTGTTGGGTTGAATACCATGAATTCTGAAACGATTACCTACGAAATAAACGATTTTCTGACAAGTGAATGTTTCTATCTAAAGAATGTCGTCACACGGGGTTATTGTAGTGACCAAAATTCAAACACCAAGAATTTGTAAATCAAGTTTTTATTACAATGATCCACAACACAAAATCGTACCGGTGACATGCGAATAAGGACACTAAAAATGGCACAGGACTCATTTTCAATGAACTGTCTGAATTTTCGAAAATTACAAATGTAAATAATACGCGAAGTATGTGAATATGTTGTACATATTCCCATTAGGGGAAAATGTAGACAACGTGAAAAAATGTCCTTTAGATGCCGCTGGGCAGCAGCTGAGAAGAGGGCAGAGACAAAACCGAAAAGCTAACCCTGAGGAGTGGAATAGTTAACTAAGTAGTACGAGAAAGTCTGTACCATTCTGTCGCACCGATAGTTACAGATAACGTCATAAAATAAATTGCATTATGTAGGAAGTAAAATATAATACTTTTTACAAGTAATAGTTTACAGTTGCCGTTGTACCTGCTACAGTATCTAATGGAATAATAACTTTTGTAGCAGTACGTTTCTTTAATGAATGCATTTGAGTTTGTAATGTCGATTGATGCGTTGTATTGACGAAGCGTTCTAAACCACTGTTTTTATCGCGTGCAAATGCTGTTATGTGCACCCTTCGACTTCACAAGGGGTGCACTCACGAAGCGGATTTGCTTTTCACCGCATGCAACTGGTTACTCGCTTCGGAAAGGTTCCACCAGTGCCTACTCGTACCTGGTCCAGATGAGGCCGGGACCTCCTTCGGATGTAATAACCTTTAATATCAGTAGTTATGTTACTCCATCATTCTGAACCTGTTGGCAGATGATGCGAACCTAGATGTTTTCCTGATATGTTTGGAATTAACCGCAGTTTTTTTTCACAAGAGCTCTTCTTGTTGACGAGAAAAATTGCTTGAATAAAAAAATCCTCGGAAGGCTGCATTCTCTTGCGGATGTGAAAGTATTACGGAAAAAGGTGGTGACATGTGACAAGCACTCATTACATGCCACCTACATGACTCGTATGTGTGCATTTTAATGTGTCTCGCTCAGTGAAACATATTTTACGAAAGTCCGAAAATCGGAGGTTTCACAATTAATCGTAAATATTTCTTTGTTTTAAATTAAATAAATTTTAAATTTTGCTATGTTGTCCAATTTAAATGATTTTTCCTTGACATAAAGGGAGAACGTTTTCTGGTGAAGGAGTCGAAAGGTATTTTCCGTTGTGGTAAATAATAATAATAATAATAATAATAATAATAATAATAATAATAATAATAATAATAATGATAATATAAATTGAATTCAGGAGCAGATAAGGAAAGTCAAATATGATACCAGGATTTTAAGTTTTATTTCTTCTTACGTTTGGTGGGTGCTTAACGCCCTACCTCTTTAAGTACTTGTGTGATATTATTTAACATACATTATTATTTTACAATGTAATGATCCAACTTTGTACAACTACACACATAGCAAACACAGAGCAATGCAAGAAACTGATGATAATTGAGGCATATGCTTGTCCTTTTTCCGAACTCTTTACAATACGTAATTTGTAATAAATTTAGCCGTCACTACACATATGTTTATTTCGTTAAATAAATTATTGTTCTAAACAATTATATTATTAAATATTACTTATGTAAAATTCTTGTACTTATGATTTCGGTACCCAGTTTCCTTCACCGATGTGGAAGGAAACGTGTCAAGAACAATTAAAACCAAATTCTGATCACAGTGAAAGTGTAAGCATTGTTTATTGTTTCATTCCTCCAGAAAAGTTTCAAAAAATGACATGTTCGGCTTCTCAGCTCGACTCAATTGCGTTTCTAGAATGTTGCATGTATGGCTTTTACGCGCGTCTTTTTCACGGTTGGTGTCTAGCATAGAATACATGGAACTCGCATAATGACCTCTAGCGATGCTCAGTATGTGA